GTTTTCCCTACAACTATTACAAAAACACAAAATAAGTATAAATAAGTATTTATATTTGTGTACAAGCTGTTTAGGTTACAATTAGCGTCCAGCTGTTGCATTCCTCCAAAAAAACCAAAACAAATTCAGGAAACGGAGTGCGCCCAGCTCCATGGGTGTAATGGACATGGGGTACGCCTGGGACATGTCCACCACACTTTCAATAACTGTCCCCCCGTACTTTTTTCAGACATTACCACTGTCTAATCTGCTATTATTTTGCGGTAATGCATTTTTCCGAGCGTCTTTAAATGTACCATGAGATACCGCGGTGGGTGTACACCTGTGGCCCACCGTGRGGTGCAGAGCTGCACCRTGTGGGTCGGACACGGCRGCGGACTGGCTGTCTGTGAGTTCTGGAGGATCACAGAACGGCCGGTGTTCTGTYGGGTCAAGGCTGAGATACACTCGTGCTTTGGTCGAGCACAAGTACGTGCACATTGAGCCATGCGGTTTCTGCGTTTATAGTTTCACCGCTGTGTTAATGCTACGTTCACACCAAACAGGTTTTGAGCTGCAGGAGTGGCCGGTTTACATGCAAAGTCTATGGTGGACGCCCCTCTATGGGTCTTGCGGCACATCAAGTCTGTTTAGTGTGGAGTGCAAGTAAGCAGAAGGTAGCGGTAGACTGTTTTCCATGCATGCGGTGCGTCCAAAGCAGCCAACGCTGGAGTTCAAAAATCTGAACTTTTGCTGCTCGACCAATGCGTCATCAGAGGCTCATTTTTTCCACGTGGCAGTTTCTTGAATGGTGTCCATTAAACTGACACAGATGGACAGGACGTCTTTAGCTGAAATTGACAGTCTGTAGTTGGTGTTCTGGCAGGAGATATCAGAACCGATGTGGGCCAGCAGATTGTTAAACTGACCGCGGTGTTAAACTGGGCTCAGGACAAAAAATAGTCCATCAGCTTGCAGCTCCTGGCCCGTGCACCCACTTCGGATGTTATCATCCATGAAATGGACGTTATTAGGCGTTATCAGTCCCCTAGAATGGCTTCAGAATGC